GAACTCAACCTCAAAGACCTCAGGTGTGCCCAGGTGTTTGTCAAAAAACTGGAACACACTTCCTCACTAGTCCAACACATGGAAGCCACAGATCATAGAATCAACTTCAATGGCACCAAAACCCTAGCCACTATAGAAAATTCCAGCCACAGAATCATCAGAGAAGCCATAGAGATTGAAAAAAGACCAGAAAGCATGAACAGAAGAGATGATTCCACCAGGCTGTCAATCATTTGGAAGCCTGCACTCACAAACAAAAAAATCTCCACACCACAAGCCAGGCAAACACCTGGGCACAAACAGATCCCCCCTGATACCTCCAGCTCAAACACACCCCAACCAGGCACCCAGATGAAACCCAGCTTCCTAACTAATGATAGCCGTCCATTTACCCGAAGCCAAGCTGCACTAAAGGCCTCCAATAAAGTAACACAATGTTGCCAGCCAATCAAGATACAAAAAGAGCCAAAAAAACAGACAGAAGATATTAGAAGCAGAACACAGCAAACTCCAAGACCAATAAACACAGACCAAGACTCTCAACCAATCAGGATGAAGAAAAAACCATTCTGGCACAGCAATAGGCTGCCCCAAATTTAGATCTGAAACCACTGTAAAAGTCTAACTCACAGACGGGTATTTTCCTACGTCAAGAAAACCTAAACAATTTCCTAACACACCTAGACAGCACACACCCCAAAATCAAATTCACCATGGAAACCGAAACAAACAAACAACTACCATTCCTAGATGTACTAATCTACAAAAAACCAGATGGCACACTAGGACACACCATATACCAGAAGAAAACACACACCAACTACTACCTCAACGCCCAGTCCCACCACCACCCAGCACAGATAAACTCCGTGGCCAAAACACTAATTGCCAGAACCAAACGCCTGGCAGACAAGACACACATAAAGACTGAACTATGCACCCTGACTAAAGTACTGACAGCCAACGGCTTCCACAAAAGCAAAATCACTGGCTTGATCCACAAAAACACACTGAGACATAATGGAGACCTAGAAGATGAACAGACCTATGGAACAGCTGTTGTGCCCTACATAAGAGGTACTACAGACAAAATCAGTAAGATACTACACAGGCATCACATCAAGACTGCCTTCCAAACAGACAGAAAAATAGCAGCCATCCTAAGAAACCCCAAAGATAAAATTGACCTGGAAAACCAAGGCATATATGTAGTCCCCTTTGCATCATGCCCTGCCCCATACCTTGGACAGACCAATAGAAGAATAAGTACCCGCCTAGATGAACACAAAAATGCAGTAAAAAAGCTGGAACACCCTTCCTCACTAGTCCAACACACGAAAGCAACAGGTCATAGCATCGACTTCAATGGCACCCAAACCCTAGCCACTATAGAAAATCCCAGCTTCAGAATTATCAGAGAAGCCATAGAGTTTGAAAAAAGACCTGAAAGCATGAATAGAAGAGATGATTCCACCAGACTGTCAATTATCTGGAAGCCTGCACTCTCAAACAAAAAAATCTCCACACCACAAGCCAGGCAAACACCTGAGCACAAACAGACTCCCCCTGATACCTCCAGCTCAAACACACCCCGACCAGGCACCCAGATGAAGCCTAGCTTCCTAATAAATGATAGCCATCCATTTACTCGGAGCCAAGCTGCACTAAAAGCCTCCAATACAGGAAGCACAATGTTGCCAGCCAATCAAGACAAAAAAAGCTACAAAACAGACAGAAGATATTAGAAACACCAATCAAGCAGAACACAGCAAACTCCAAGACCAATAAACACAGACCAAGACTCCCAACCAATCAGGATGAAGAAAAAACCATTCTGGCACAGCAGTAGGCTAGCCCCAAATTTAAAACAGAAATGGCTGTGAAAATCTGACTCACAGATGAACACTGTACAGAAGCCTGATGATGGCAGATGAGATTCTGCCGAAACGTTGCTACAACTTTAAAGGCACAACTATAATGACGTGGGAAAATACCTGAACAAAAGTTGAATGGATAAAATTAAAAGATATAAAGGTTTCATACTCCAATTAGTAACTACAGGGGAAAATTTGTTTAATGAGAAAAGATAATATGAAATTGAAACAGGACAGACAAAAGTATAAATATAATGATTGGAAAGACATTGAAACTTAGAAAAAGATATATAATTGAATTTAGATATGAGATAATTAAAAATAAAGTTGAGAAAACCAAGGGAGGGGAAAATTATGGAGAAAATGTTAAAATAGTAATAAGATATGGAGTAGAACACAAAGATGAATATGAAATTGAGTTTGTGTCTGTATGAAGAAGTGATAACCCGGGATCATGCTATTCTCAGAAAAAAAGATGTTTTATTTGTGTTATGTTTTTGTGAAAACCCAAATAAAATTTATATTAAAAAAAAAGAATGGTGATAGGAAGTTTTAATACTAAGGCAATTCATCCCCTTTGGATGCTGAAAGATAAAAAGAGGGAAAGAAGGAAAAAATCAGCGATAATATACTCTGATATTGCTTCATGACTCTTGTTTTCCACTAGGCTGGGGATTACACTAATTGATTAACTGAATTCCTAAATACTAAGGAGTTTTCAGTTAAATTCAGCCTAATTATTAGCAGGGTTGGAAGGAAATTCAAAAGGGAAATAAGGACTTGTACACTAATAGGTCCAGGGAAGTAGGGTGATGACTAATTCTGTATTATTTTACTGAATTGTGAACTTTATAGAAATTAAAAGTGATATTCAAGAAAATAATTCACTTTTTTGAGGTTTTTTTTTTAAAGGGCCTAGGATGCTTTTGAAATAGAAGCTACAACTAAATTTGTGTGGATGCTAAATTATTATCCGCACATAGGCAATATATTTTGTTTTCCTGATTATTAGTAGAATTTGGTGGTAATGCTTAGGCCACCTAATTAATAGCGGCAACACTGTTGGGTGGAAAAATAGTGCCAAGAACTGTTCTGCCTTATCTGCATCATCCAAAGACAAACTCACCTAGAGAAGATGAGTTAGAGAAGGTCTGACTGTCACCAGACATCTTTGTAATGTCTGTTAAATACACAGTTCCATCCTCTGCAAAATAAAAAAGGACAAGTAAGAAAAACAAGAATATTCAAATGCCTATTGCAGAAAAACAAAGTAAAGCTAATCACTAAAGCCCAATATGACCTCATTAGAAGACTCTTATAGTTCTTTGTTCACAAATAATTTTTTAACTTACAACTATGTTTCCTCGGGAAATATATTAATAAACGGCAATTAAAAGAAATAAATACTAGAATATCTAAAATTCAAATTTAAACTATAGTTTTAAGTCTGACTAGCTTTAGAGTGGATTTTGGGGTAAAGCAGCCTTTTGCTAAGGGATGGAAAGAAAGAATATGATGACGTTTGATCATTTGAATCTCTTACTGGCTTTGAATACCATTGATCAAGGGAGTCTCCTAGATCAGGGGTCCCCAACCTTTTGGACCTCAGGGACCACCAAACTCATAATTTTAAATCCCGTGGACCACTAATATGAATCCAGCATGCCACTTACTGAAGCGCCTGGACTCCCACTGATGGGATGGGATCCTTCAGGCACTTAGCTTGGCTGTCTGTTTCTGCAACCTTAAATACTCAGAATCATTTGGACCCGTTTCCCACAGAAAACAAAACACTGGGATCTCTCATCTTTCTTTCTCTTTCTCTCTCTCTCTCTCTTTCTCTCCCTCCCCCTCTCTTTCTCCCTTTCTCCCTCTCTCTCTCTCCTTTTCTCCCTCTTTCTCCTTCTCTCTCTCCCTCCACCCCTCTCTTTCTCCATTTCTTCCTCTTTCTCTCTCTCCCCCCCCCATTCCCAGGGGTGGGGGAAAAGAACCTCTGAACTGGTGCTGGGTAGTGAGAATCTGATATCTGGAGGCCAACGAGCCATGTGCTGAAGACCAGGTGGCTTGCAGGGAGGTGGGGCAACGGAGGTGCTACCAGCAGCAGATGGACTCATACATGTGGAAGATCGCAGCATCGGAGCCCTTCCCGGGTGCTCCCTGGCCTGCGAGGGGATGGGGAGAAAGGAATCTCTCAACTGGTGTTACCTCCTGCCTCCGCACATTGAGGAGGTCAAGCGGCTGCCAGCGATGCCCTCAGGGGAAGATGTTGCAAGGGGGAGCCTCTCCCCTCTCCCCTCAGGAACTTCTCTTCCTCCTTGGCAGAAGCACTCACACGCAAAGCGCTGATCTCCCCTCTGGCATCTGACAAGCCCCCTCCTTCCCGCTGGGCATGTGTGAGCACTTCTGGTGAGGAGGAAGAGAGGGTTGAGCTTCCCCCTTGCAACATCTTCACCTGAGGGCATCGCTGGCAGCTGCTTCCTGTGGCTCAGGAGGTCAACGTTACTCGGCCTCCTCAATGCGCTGAGGCAGGAGGCAGCAGCCACAACACAGGTTTGCTAGAGAGACTGCAGGATTGCCCCACCTCCCCGCCACCCATCTGATCTTCAGCACGTTGCGGCCCACCAAAATTTTCTCACCAGTTGGCGACCACTGCTCTAGATCACCTGAGTAGTTTAGGGATAAAGAATACTTGAATTGCAGTGGTTCACTCCAGAGTCTTAAAAACTAGTATTGTGTGTTTGGTTAACTGTTGTATGAAGTTTCTCAGAGATTTGTTCTGTCACCAGCATTTTCTGTGATTGAGCTGAAACTGCTGCATGAGATCATCAGGAAATTTGAGATTTATGTAAATTACCACAACTTAATAATAATAGTTATCAAGGTACATTCTTAAAGACTTACACTGATATAATTAATATTGATTTCTGGAAGCTCACTATCTATTTCATAAAGCTTCCTGAAGAAGTTTTGAAAATGAGAGTGATACTGGTTAGAACGTATTTACTCACAATATTCTGCTCTGTATAAGATATAGAACAAGCCCCATATTGGACCATAGATGGAATCAGAGAATAACTTGGTCTCTCAATTCCATTAGAATGGTAAACAAATATGGCATATTACCAAAAGCTATGAATGATTAAACACCTAGACTTTCTATGCAGCATAATAATATAATTTTTTTTGGAAGATGAGTTTTAAAAAATGGCAATTAAATTTGTCTAATGAGTTCATAACAACAAGATATTTTTACCATTAAACTTAGTCATCTTCAACATACCCTGCTCTTCTTCTGTGGTTAGGGAGGTGTCTGTATTTCTCAAGGTATTGTCCGAGCTGCTAGTATCCTCTAGTTCTTCTTTAGTTAAAAACAGTAATTAGCATTAATTTTTCCAGAAATAATCTATTATTTCAGAAATAATCCCAGTAAGCTATTCATTTTATCATAGCAATATTTATCATCCCAACTTTGCAGATGGAGAACTGATGTAGCAACAATGCAGAAAACTGGGCAATAAGGTTATATTGAGCTAAAATTTTAACCAAGGCCTCTCTCTGCCTAGCTATATCTAGCCAAACCTGGTAAATCACAAAAAAGAAACGTGGTCTGATCTCATGAGAGACAATAAGAAAAATCAAGGGAAATATAAATCATTACCAAGAAAAAAAAAATGGCAAGTCACTTCTGTATTTTTGCCCAAAACCCTACATCAGGGGTGGGCAAACTACGGCCCGCGGGCCACATCCGGCCCGTTGGTCTTTTTTATGTGGCCCGCCGAAGATTGGTCCGTATGTAACCGCGGCCACTTTTTGGCTGCTTTCAGACGCGTTAAGAGGAGGTGGTTGAGGCGGAGGGCGGGTGGTGGAGAGCAAGTAGGGCGCCTGGCGGGCTTTTCAGGAAGAGCAGGAAACGGGGGCAGGAGCCCGGCGGAGCGAAGAGAGCTGAAACCTGTTGAGGTCTCGTCGCAGTCCCTTCGCGGGGAGAGAAGCTGCCGAGCCGAGAGGAGCGCGGGATGCTGCCGGCTCGCCTCCCTGCCCCTCCGTCGTGACTGCGGGAGAAGGAGCCCTGAGCGCTGCTCTCACGGCCACCACCGACAGAGCCCAGCTTCATTTCGCCTGAGCCGCGTTTGATTTGGAAGGGGGCGTGGGAGGCAGCACCAAAGGAGCACTCTGGGGTTCGGCCAACCACCCACTGAGCGCCTCTGGGCTCCCCACCGTGGCGGGCAGACTTTGGGGCTGCACTCTGGAACCCAGAGCCACGGGACGGCGAAGCCGAGAGGCAGGAGGAGGCGCGTTGGAGCTGCAGCAGCCGGTTCAGATCTCTCGGTCCCAGGGAATCCCCCTCCGCCGAGGCGCCTGAGCCCCGAGCACCGCCGGCATCGAGGAGCACGAGAAGCACAACGGGGCCACGGGAAGAGCTGCGCCCCAAGGAGCAACTGGTGGCCGGAGCGGCTGGGACTGGCAGTGGCGGCGAGGGCCCGACCTGCACAGGGGGGGCTGGGGCGGTTTTCTCCTGCGCCCGGCTTCGGAGCGGCCCACCGTGTGATCTTGGGCATCTGGCTCGCTGCGCCCTAGGCGCGCCTTTCCCTCGCCTCTCGGCCAGCAGCAGCAGCTCTGCCGCCGCCTCCTTCCTCCCCTAATGCCCGCTGTTGTGATGCGTATTCCCATAGACCCGAGCACCAGCAGGCGCTCACACCTCCCTCCATGGCCTTCCCCTGCGGTAAGATGGGAGAGAACAGCGGCGCCCTCAGCGCGCCAGTCCCGGGATCTCGCAGCCAGACCGAGGTGTGTTCGGTGGTGGACGTCCTGGCCGATCATCCGGGGGAATTGGTGAGGCCCGACAGCTCCAACTTCTTGTGCTTGGTGCTGCTTTCCCACTGGAGATGCAACAAGACCCTCCCCGTGGCCTTCAAGGTAAGCCGGGAGGGGAGGCTGGGCGGAGCGGGCAGGTCCTGGGAGAGGCGCGCAGATGTTTCCTGCCGAGCGGGCTTCCCAAGCGCCCGGGAGGACTCGTGGTTTAATGGCAAAAGCGGCGGCGGAATGGGCGCTGGGTGGGTGGGGGGAAAGGCAAGCTAAAGCCTCCCCACACACACACCTCGGCAAGCGGTTTGCAGGGTTAGCCAGCAGTTTCTCGCAAGAGACTGAAGGCCGGTCTGCTCCCCCCAATTAGACATTGGTTCAAGAGGAAGGGTCAGCCCTGCTACTAATTGGTGGTTCACAGTTTATCCGTGGGCACCGGAGGAGTTATGTTTTGGGGGGTGGGCATTTATTTATTTTTTATCTTATAAGTGGCCAACTTTTGTAAGCTGAGGGGGTACATTCATACACACATACACACATACACACACACAGTCGTTTATTCGTAGGGGAAGAATCTGTCTATCTATCTATCTATCTATCTATCTATCTATCTATGTTGTGCAAATTTAACTATGACGCCAAACTTGAGTTTTGGAGGATGTCTCGGAGAAAAAAATAGTTATTTTTCCTACCCCGAGTACGGCAGGCGTCTCTCCCGCTTAAAAAACAAAACTCTTTCCTCCCCTCGCTTTGAAAAGGGGAACTGTTAACAAATGCAGTTTTTTATATGTATCGTATCTTTTGCTGACCCGGCCCGTCCATCAAATTTTAAAAGTCAATGCGGCCCCCGAGCCAAAAAGTTTGCCCACCCCTGCCCTACATGGAAGTATTCATCAATATTCATTCAAGGGAACCTTTTTCCCCCTTTCTTTTTTCTTTACTATCAATAGTAAATCTTGTATCTGCTAAGTCAGCAGCTCAGTAGGCTTGTCCCTAGCATGTCTGCATAAGACTTTTTTTGCCTTTTTTTATCTGACTCACTTTGGTTATCTTAAGATACCTGCAGTCCCCATGATGTTTTTTTTTTAATGTCCTTTTCTACAGTTGGCTCTTCTATCATAATCAAACAGGCTTTAGCCCTAATGCATCTGTCTGACTTACAAGAACTCCAAACTCCCAAATATTGAAACTTAATTTTAATATTTATCTGTTGCCTTCTCATTATTTCCAGAAAGACTTAAAACTTACCTTGACTACTGAGGAGGTCATCAACAGCCCACATAAAGTCCTTCAAATTCACAGTCATATCCTCTATAATTTTTTAAAAAAATAGACAGTATAAATGCTCCCAGGAAGTTGTTTGTATCTTAATAATTGATAATCATTTCAACATTAATCTCATTTTGTTTACAGCTCCTTTCTTCTCTGGAAAATTTCATTGCTCTCTATCAATATGTCAGCAGCATAAAAATACTGGGGACACTACCTTTCAGTATGGATAGTTGAGTAGGAGTAAGAGTGTCTGCAGGGTTTGGTAAAATAACTCAAGATGGCAGCCACAATATTCTAATAGAAATTCCACCTGTTTTTTTAAAATGTATGTTGATTCCCTGAACTGGTTGCTGGTGAGCGAAGCTTTTCACTAGGTTGGTTAACCCAGAAATAACCCAGAAAAATTCTAGATAGCTGGTATACAGCATTAAGGTTCAAATTATACACCAAATAAAATCCCCCCATTTCCCCCCATGTATTTATAACATTTCTGAATAACCCTCGCTAGACAGTGCATCAGAGATATGAAAACAGTAGGTTAAGAGTTGATTAATTTTCCTCTTTTTGTGGGTTTCTTAAAGGTTCAAGATAATTATTTGCATGCTGGTTTTCTACATGGGAGAAAAGATAGGATGATTTATTTTTATTATTTATTTGTCAAGCATGTATTAGATAACAGATATAATTAGAACATGATTATGATTACATGAAATGGGTACAAATAAAAGGGGACATTAGGACATGTTGGTGCGCTTATGCACACTGGAAGCTTAGAAAGGGGATGAGACATTGGCTTCTCTATATGTCTGGCACTCACTGTTAAAAGTTGTCCTTTTTAGAGCTTCCTTAATCACTTGGTCTGATAGGTAAAGGCCCATATTGGCTAGGACGGAGGCCAGTGTATCGACATCTACTTGTTTGTCTGTTAGAAGAGAAATATTTTGTGGGCATGTATTGAATCCCAAATAATGTCATTAATTAAACATATTCCCATAAATTTTGCTATTTATTCTTGCACCATTTCAATGCAATTTCCATTTATTTATTTCAGTTCAATTTGGATGCCTCCCAACTGCAAATCAGCCCTGGGCAGCTCTTAATATAGCAAACAAAATAAAGGCAGGATAGAAACAAACAAACAAACAAACAAAACACAATAGAAACAAACAAGAGGGGATCTAGCCACTCAGTATAGAAACATAAACAAAAAGCAAGTTCAAGACCTGCTCCACCCTACTCCAAGATCTCTGACAAGATCTGGGAGAACAGCCAGGTCTTCAAGGCCTTCCCGAACATCAACAGGATCTAAGCCACATCAATCTCATTCCAGAGAGCAAATACAGAGGAAGCAGGTTTTCTGGGTCCTGATAGATGGTACTGTTTAATCAATAGGACACAGAGCATATAAATTCTCCCAGTTTGTACTGGTTGGGCAGAAACCATGAGAGATAGATTATCTCTCAAGTAACTTGGTCCTGTGCCATGTAATGTTGTAAAGATGATGTTGTGCCCAAGAATTCAGACTCTGACAAATCTGCTCCAGCTGAACCAATGGAATGTCAATTTCAGAAGCCTCCAGGCCAGAAATCACCCCAGGCTGATCAAATACAAGGACCATTGGAACAGCTGGAGCAGCACGTTGGTGAAGTATAGTCTCCAAGCTCCTGGACTCAGTGAACTGAGCACAGAGCAGAGCAAAGATACTCAAGGGGATTCCTTGCCAAGCAAGGAAGTAGTTCAGTAGTTCCCATAATTAAAGACAGCTGGCTACAGCCTGATTTAAGAAGGCAGCCCTGATTTGTGCTTCTGTATTGGAAACAACTGTCTGATCTCTTTCTCTGCTATGTCATTCCTGTGCATTCTGCTCACGAATCTTGAAATGCAAACCTTTGGACTGGCTGATAGATCTGACTTGGCTCTCTCAACTTTGGATTAGATTTTGACTCACCCCACATGTTTCTGTTGAAAGCAAAACTACCCAGGCAAACTGCCTTTCCCAGAGTCTCTGTTTTGTTTTATATTCCTTTTCTAGTCTGCAAGTGATCTACTCAACCTTGGGTAAGTTCTATTTCCATTTAGCAACTGTTTGTATATTAATTTGAAACAGAACAGGTAATAACCAGCACCTTGAATTGCACATGGAAGTCTGCTGATCACCAGTGGGTGCCCCTACCCATGCCCATTATTGAAGCTTTCTAGGTCTGAAAAGATAGATCACATTGTAATAGTGGAACTGTACAGCGACAATGGCATGAATCAAGCAACTCAGTCAAATCTTTGGCTTTCTGGATTGAATTATAAAGTTAGTTCAAAGAACTGAATTGAATTGCGTGCCTCCAAATTGATCTGGGTAGTTTTGATGCTCTTCTATACCTAAAGAAATGATTTCCTAACTGATTTACAAACACAAATCAAATTGACCTATTTTAAAAAGTGAGCTTGACTGCCCAAATTGGGTCAGATTTATTTTCTAAATCAGACCTAGATTGTTTTTCTAAGTCAAATCGATTATTGAAATGAATTTTACATTATTTGCCCGTTATTGATCCCCGCAGGAGTAATTGGAACATATTCTTTCTCTTCTAGGAAAGGCATCAAGAATTAGCTCTTCATTTGAGCCATTTCAATTAGCTGCAATTGCAACAATATAGACACTGAAGAAACTATGATAAAGGATAAGAAGAACCTGTGTTTGGTGTTTGCTAGCTCCTTCCCCCAAAATCCCATTAGTATGGTAGAGGCAACCCACCCTTTTTTTACCTGGAGAGTTATATTCTAAAACATACTTTGATTTAGGGACTTGTTTGGGATGTAATTTAGGCAGCATAGATGGATTACTGCAATGTGTTCTTCACAGAACTGCCTTTGGAGAAGATCCAGAGGTCATAGCTGGTACAAAGCAAAGGGACTAGAGTACTGCTGAATTGACAGCACCAATGTGGTAACACTCATTTTACATTGGTTACCAGCAGGCTCTTGAGACCAGCTTTAAATGCTGATCTTTAGTTTTAAAACATACATGGTATAGCACCAGGTTATTTCAGACAATGGCATGGCAGAATAGAATCTGGCCAGCTGATTCAGGGAATGCAAGAGATCTGCATCCCGCTTTATAAATCTCTGCCCCACAGAGGTAAATGCAGCTCCATCTTCCTGGCTTTTCACAGCAGATTAGAACACTTTGAAGACTTTTACTTATCTTGACTGAGGGCAGTGTAATAGGCTTTAAAAGAAATCCTATTGCATAAATTGCAGTTTGTCCTAACTGTATTGGTTTGCTTGCAATGTCCATTGCCCAGAGTTGTCTGGGAGAGGGCTGACTTAGAAATGTTAACAAACACAGTATTTCTGTATAGCCAATGGCAACAACTTAAAGCACTTTTGTACTTGTGGGTTTTGCAGAGCTTAGGGGAAAAATTTGATATCTCTATTGCTTCTCTGAAACACAAAACAATAATCAAACGAAAAGTTAGCTATTTTGCCAGGGGCATCATGATTGTGGGTATTTGGGGAGTTAGAACATGCAGCCTGAGAGGGTTGTCTGATTCTTGCCAATTTCACGTTGCCTATAACACTGGGAAATTCATAGTACAGAAGCATTTTAAACACAAAGTAAGCCAACATGAGAACAAAACTACTTTTTTCCTCCCATCCTTTTGATTCTAATTTCAACTTCTTGCGGGTTCCTTAAAGAGCCCGCACAGGGAAAAGAGAAACAATAACTTTGTGGGAAATTAGAAAGTAAAATATAGTTTGGGTATAGATAACTTGTTTCCTGCTTCCAGTCTTCAACATGATCCCGAAATTTTAGACTCATGTTATCATATTATATATAGTATCATAAAAATATTATTTGTTTTAATTGAAATGGTCACGCAAAAAATATTAATATATCTGTACTGTTATGATTCTTCATTCAGTTTAATGCTTCAGCTTACCTTTTTTCTGGTTCTTCAAAATGGCATTTACACTTCTCATGAATGCGTTCTTGTCCACCATCCCATCATCTGCAACAAAGAAACCAAAAGAAGAGATAAAATGAAACAATCCTGGATTGAATTCTAAAATCAAAGCACCAAAAGGCAAGACAAGAAACAATGGCTGGAAACTAACCAAGATGAAAAGCAACTTAGAACTAAGGACAACTTTTCTAAAGGTGACAGCAATTAACCAATGGAATAAGTTGCCTTCAGAAGTTGTGGATGTTTTATCTCTGAAGGCTTTCAAAAGGAGAGTGGACAACCATTTTTTCTAAAATGATATAAGATCTCTTGTTTGAGCAGGGGAAGTGATTAGAAGACCTCTTAGAACTCTTCCAACTCTATTATTCTATGTTCAATCAACTGAGTTATCTTCAGTTTCAGGTGAGAACAATAAAACAATGAAGAGAAGGAGAGAGGTGAAAGTAGACGTATGTGTTTGAGATGGAAAGAATAAAGTTTAGTTCAGCTTTAATACAAATTGCTAAGTGTCTAAGAAGAGGATAGGCAGAAACAGAAATAGCTCCTTATAGAAAAGGATCTGTGCTACTTTAGCACACAGTAAATTCTTGAGCTGAACTCAACAATATGGTAATATAAATCGCATTATTGTTCCCAAATGGAAATGAACAATTGGGAATAAATGTAGCACCATAAACGTCTCTGGAGATCCTCAGTCATCCAGGTCATGGTTGTCCCAAAGGTGTTTTTTCAAGAGATTAGGGTTAGGAAGCTGAAGAAGCTTCTTGGATAAGAAGCGAAATATCTTCAAAGAAAAACCAGAAAGTCTAGTTGCCTCTTGAAAAATGTAGGACCAGGTGAAAACAAGGAAACAATAATAGATACTATAGCAAAAAGATGAAGGATAGAGCAAGCAATTCTTGAATTGAATTAATGACCCCTCTGTACTCCCCTACCCTTAAATAAAATTCAAACGTAATATGAAGGAATATTTTCACAATCCTTACTTGGAGCTTGACAGTTGTCATGCAAATAAATATAAAATGGTCCTCCATTGTGATTTTCTCTCCTTAGTCATAAAGGACTATGGATCGATATTTTCATTTTGTGAGTTTCCATACTTCCTTTCAGAAGATTGCATTTAGCCCCTAAAGATAGTGGCTGAATTATATACATTGCAAATTCTCAAATAGGCATAAATTTCATTTTCTTGCAAGGATTTGGTTGTTACAACCATTTGGCGAGTTACAACACAAGTACTTTAGCTACCCTCTAAAGTCTTCTCTTTTTGTAAAACCATAAGAATTATTTTGTGGAATAAAAACCAAAGGTTAGATACCAACTACTCTGTTCAAATGAATCAAGGAACTAACCATCTATTGAAACGTGTTTAAATGCCTCGTATAGTTGTCTGTTGGTTAAATAGATTCCCATTTCTTCCAAGACTTCATCCAAGCTCTCAATATCAACTTTAGTTTCTGTAAAAGAAATATATATATAAAAGAAAAAAGCAATAAAACATCTTATTAATGTTTTATTCGAGACTTCTGGCTTGTAATTCTGTAAATGAGGAAGCTTTTCTTTCTAGAGTGCTTACTGTAAACAAAATGTTTGTGACATTAAGGGTAGCAGAGCTCACTGTGATTCCAGCCCTGACTCTGACACCAGATCAGATTGTAGCTGCTCAGAAGATAGAATTACTGTTCCTTAAAAGAAAAATAAAGATAGCATTTCCTGATAATTACAGAGGAAATGAAAATTAATGAAATTCTGAAAAGTTTGAAGTTCCCATTTAGTTAATGGGAAAGAAATGAGAAAATTTGGAAATGATTATTTGCTTGTGTGTGTGTGTGTGTGTTTGTGTGTGAAGGAACATAAACAATTGATACATTATTTTAAAAGCATATTTACTACAAAAAAAGTTGTATTTATTTTCAAATTCTGTTGGAATAGTAGGTTACTTTCACAAGGCTTTTTCCTCCTCAGAATGACAAATTTTTGAGGGAAAAGATGAGGCATTGGTTTGCTCAGAAGATGTACCTGAGGTTGGGTAATTTGAGTCAGTGACAATCTTCAAGAGCAGCCCTATGTACATTCAGGAGATGATCAAGCATGAGTGAATGAGAGCAGAGCCTCATGTTATGGCTCTAGATATGGGCTCAACAGGCACACAGCATGAAGAGAATATACTTGACGGATAGATAGGAAAACAAATCAATTATAGTCAAATCAGAATCCACTCAGAAATCTATGTGGCTCCTGCTTTGATTATGTTAAAGCCTTAAATTGTCATTAGAAACCTAGCTTTCTCCTCAGTCATGGATTAGGGTACACTTCTTCTTCTTGCTTTATTATTTATGTATTATTCTGGTTAAAGAAACTTTACCGTATTGTGTGCTCCACTTTTTGATTGAGATTTACCACAAAGAGAAGTGTTGGTTTATATGAGTCTGAATATGTGCATGAACGTGGAGACTCCATGTTATTTCCTTCTCTGAACTTGCCCTTTTTAATCAGCCTTATTTTTACTACCTTTTGTCCACCCATTTACTATTATTTGGGAGATCATTGGAGCTGTTTTCTCTCTCTCTTTGTAGCTCTTCTAAGCCTTTATTCTCTTTGACTGCTATAAGAAAGAAGGAAAACTTTTCCATCTTACCTCTTTGAGTTTTAATCCCAGTTCCAGCTAGAAGTTAATGGAGTTAGGTTGAAATACCCAGACAAAGTATGATATGAAAGGAAAAGTCATAGATCTTCCCACTCACATATCCTGTTAGATGTCAAAATAGTCACAAATCCCATACAACATTGCAGGTACATTTATCTATAATTATTGTTTTGGCTCATGTTTTCATATTCATGAAATGGCTCACATTTTATCATGCAAGTGCACATTTGGGACCAGTTTACTGTAGATTTCTTCCTTACATGAATTGATTTAACTGAAAAACATTGTGTCAGCCTCCAATGGCTTGTCTACTTAAACAAGTGTTATTGTAGTCACCGAGCCATAAAATAGTCTAGGGAGGAAATCAATATTTGGAATAAAAAATTTACAGGCAGAGTAAAGCCCTTTGCTGTTTGGGTCAAAGGCAACGTAAAAGAGTAAAAAGAGTTCAGGAGTGTGTCTAGAAAAAAACCACGTAGTATATTTGTATGTTGTCTTTCAGCTTACCTTCTGGAGGTGACCTTTGAATCTCATGAACTGCCTTTAAAAAGTCACAGAGGTTCACTGTCCCATCAACTGTAAGGGGAAAAAAAAGTAGCAGCAGCAAAATGTTATTCTCACAATTTTTGCAGTGATTTATAATGGCTGACAATAAAAAGAGTTTAGAAACCTTCTATAAACACAACTATTCACAAATTATCCAATCTAGTTAAAGTATCTTCTGAAACAGTTTTGTCTGAAAGCAATTAGGAGGAGGCCAAACTGATATTCATATGAGATTGTTTCAGAGATTCAGCACTTATTGAATAGTAGCCCTGCATAGCTTCAACTCCTTTTTCTGCCTGAAAGAGGAACACTAGAAATGGTTTTCTACCTAGGTAATCTGATAAAACAGGCTGATTTTAGGTGAAAGAAGCAGTCCTCTCTCTCTCTCTCTCTCTCTCTCTCTCTCTCTCTCTCTCTGTGTGTGTGTGTGTGTGTGTGTACAAACATACATAGCCATTTACTTATATTTCTATTTTCGTGGCCCCTGAGCTTCACAAATGACATGACACTGGTGGTCTGATATAGTTGGAATAGAAAACTTCAGCTGTTTCCTTTTTTATTGTTTTGGATTCTTAAAGTATGAAAGCAAAAAATGATATTACTGAAAACCAGAATTTTGTTTTCAAATGGCAATAGAGATCACTTTGGGAGTACTAGGATTACAAAACAGTTGGGAAGGGCTGTTTTTATATTTAAAGTACCTTTTCCCATCACTGAGATGATGGGAGCCATAATCCAACAAATTTAGGAGAATGTAAAATTGCTTTGTAATTTATCTTGCTAGCAGTTTAAATACTTCTGAACCAAAAGTCAAAATATAAATACTAACCATTTACTTTTGACTTTAACAAGGCCTCCTCCAGCTCTTTGTCCCTCAAAGAAATGCCCTTATTGGCTAAAATTGCACCCAGTTCTTCAACAGCAACCTTTTCTTCCTGGGCAGCCATTTTCTCTTTCTCTTTACCTTCCTCTTCCTGAGCAGCAGCACTTTTCTCATCTTTAATAAATATCTTCTCTTCCTCGGCAGCGGGTTTCTCTTTCTCGTTGGAAATCTTCTCTTCCTCTTCCTCAGCGGCAGCAACTTTCTCTTCCTCAGCAGGAATCTTCTCTTCCTCTTCCTCAGTGGCAGCAACTTTTTCGTCTTCAACAGGAATCTTCTCTTCCTCTTCCTCAGCGGCGGCAACTTTCTCTCCCTCAACAGGAATCTTCTCTTCCTCTTCCTCAGCGGTAGCAACTTTTTCATCTTCAACAGGAATCTTCTCTTCCTCTTCCTCAGCGG